CAATTTTTCCCTTCAAGAGAGACAGACCTTGAACCATTGCCCAGTGTACTTCAAAGAGTTCGAGAACGTTTGATATGAAGATCAGACTCGTCTTCCATCCAAATACTCTGGAACTCCTGACCTAGAAGATAAGCTCCTCATCCCTGAAGAGATATGTCTGTGAACAGATGGATCTCAGAATGAGGTGGTGGAATGGGTACCCCAACAGTTGTGTTGTTCCGATCCAACCACCATTTGAAATTGACAATATTGCTCCTGAACTATGAGACAGGATGATCCAAAGGATAAGAATGCATGATTCATCGGTCACGCAGTGATCATTAAAGGGACTCATATGAAGTCGTCCCAAATGAAAGAGAGGATCGAGTGATGTAAAACCACAAGGTAAAGCCCTGAACTGCAGCACCTGAGAAACCTCCAGGAATATACAGATAAGCATCAGTAACATTGAACTTAGTTATCCAGAGCCTAGTGCAAAGTGCCATCTTAAGTTGAGAAATGGTTCCATTGTAAAGCAAGGAGGATCTAAAAATTGGTTGAGTCGAGATAGATCGATAATTGGATGCCAAACCTCTCATTTCTTGGGTACAACAAATAAATGGGAATAAAGTTCCAGAAGAATGGGATTGACCATCTCTACTGCCTTTTTCACTAACAACTCTCTTATGGCCTGGGAACCAAGCTCCACTAGCCTTGGATCTGTTTGAGGTGAAAAGGTAACAGGTTGTGCAGATAAGGGTGGAGACAATGTGAATTGAATAACCAAACCTGAAGCCAGAAAACGGAGTACCCATGAATCCCTGGTGAAAGAACTCCAGATGTCCAGAAAGTGATATAATTGTGCTCCCACTGCTCCCCCACCAATGGGAGCATCACCAATGGCACTGTCATCAGTCCGCTCAAGCCGATGATCCTCAAGAATATGGACAAACTCTATTATGGTATCCAATAGACCCGGAAACTGAAGGAGGGGGTCGGGAAACACTCTGGGCCAACACTCCCAAATTAGTGCCAGAAGAGCAAGATGCCAATGATGACAAATAAGAATGTAAATGAGCTGTATAAATTTGTGATTCTAAATGTCTCAGGAACTCCGGCAAACAACATGGTACGGAAAAAACGGAGCTTCCCATAGCTACCTGAGGGCAGAAGACAGTAAATGAATACTTTCTAACAAAGTGATTCTACCAATAAATCCAAACAACAAACCAGTCAGGAAACCAAGGAAGGAACTGAAGAAGACATTTTGACTGAGGAAGATGTCAGCAAAATTCCTAACTCATCCTCAAATTGCTGAGGGGAATGTTGATAGTCTTCAGACTAAAGTTAGATCAAAGATAAATACCTCAGTACAGTCATCAGAATATGAAGAATCCAAGAAAACTGTTAACTGTTTAAAGTGATCACAATTTTCAATCTATATAGACCTCCTCCTGGTGGTGATAAGCCAAAGTATGTTGTTCCGATAAACTTGGGGGACAAGGCTATCCCATTGCAAAGGTGAGCAGCAAATCCCCCAGCATGAACATTAATATCAGGAGGAGGAGGAAAAACCATGAAGGTGTAGAGTCAAATGCAATAGGAGAGATCACCAAAACCTCACAAACCTGAGTAACCAAATGAAGAAGAGAGGCTAGAGGTGACTGATCAAAATGATCCTCTGTTGAGGCTGACCTAGTAGAAGAAGGAGCTGGAAAAAGCAAGTCTAAATTCTTCCTAGCCAGTCATGGGTCATTTGCAAAAGCCACCTCAGAACCCTACGGAGAAACTCTACATAGGCCTCCATACTAGAAATATTAACTCAGGAATTCATACCCGTTGAAAATACAAACCATAGAAATGCAAACCATGTTCAAAGTCACAATGTAAATTGTGATTAATCACAACACTCCTGTTTATAGAAACCCGCGCTGAATGCTTTGTCAAGAAAAAGTGATTACATTATCTGAATAAGGTGCTTATATACAGTACCTAGATAGAGGGTGCATTGAAGTTGGTGGAGAATTTGCTAAGAGCAATCAATGGGTTATAAAATACTGGAGCAAACATTTTCAATTCTTAGATGGGCAAAGAGTGGAAACCCTGGAGATCGAGAAATCACTATAGTGTCAACAGAGGTAAGTATGTTTTGGAATTTAACTTATTTCTGTTTCTCTCTATATTTGGTAATGAAAATAATTATGGAATCACACAAGCAACATATATACAGAAATTATATAAAACGAGCGAAGACAACTATATGATAAATTTATTAATGATACAAAACATTATCACAAAAAATACAAAAGAAATGAATAAGGTCTATAATGCACTAGTATTCTATATGTGAGCCCAATACTCTACACAAAGCATTACACCTTATTTTCATGCTGTTATAGTTTATCAGTATATGATCAGTAGATCATAGGATATTATTCCAAATATTTTGTACTACTTCCCACAACTCAGTCAAGTTATCTGATTATCTTTTAACAGGATCAAATTTTACACAACTCACATTGGGTTAATTTGTGCATTTTAAGCCATGATCTTGAGTGTTATATTGCTTCTTTACTGTCTAATTCAAAAATATCATATTCCACATTTGCTATATGCTTGGGATAACTGTCTTACTGGAAGTAGAGCAGGGTTCTGGTTAATCTGAATTCCCAGATCCAGTATGCGTAAGAATATATTAGGACACATGAGATTTGACCCCCTGAGTACCAAACATGCATCACAAAAGTACTTTGCTTCAAACTTTGTACCACAACAAAGCATACAGTTTGCAAACAGCTGTCCACAATCAATTTCTAACAGGTTTCATCAATGACAATAAATTGCCGAAAATAAAGCCATGTGAAAATACCATATATTTAACACTTTCACTTTGGGTAGGTCAGAGTGCATATGTCACAACATTTCACAGAGTTACATTCAAAATTTGATTAAACTACTTTATTATCAATGTATATGAATAAACCCAGATAATAAACCACACTTTAGTATTAAAGTTTAAAGTTCTTAATTTTGTAAAGAAATATTTTAAAAAAAATTCTCAATCTCCCCTAGTATGAGAACTGTGACATTTGTTATTTATATCTTCCCTCTTCTCTAATTTTTTACCACCCCTACAAAAAGTATGAAATTTAATGTAAATTACTTATTATAATGTTTTCATTATGAGTGACATAACATGAAAATCAAAGGACCATTTGATCTTTCAAGACAGGATTCGTGCACTCACCCTTAAGAAAAGAAAAATTTAAACTCATCTTTTATACAACTATAACAACTATTAGTTCTGGCAGTCAAAGTACCATCAATTTTGTGTAGGTCAATAACAATGTTGACTGAGATGCAGACCAAAATTTGTACCGATCCTCCACCATGTTGCACTGTACAATGACTATGATACTGTTCTTCTCTCTCTCATTGATTGTTGCCAAATAATTCAAACTTGGATACATCTGTAAAGAGCAAATTCTCTTGCTCTGCTCATTCCATTCTTTGTGGTGCAATGCCTGTTTTACTTTATTTTATTACTTGATATCAACAGCAGTTGCAAAGCGTTCATAGATCCACTGAGGTCACTTTGTGCTTATGTTCTCAAGGTAATAGTTACATCTGTATTTACAGCTAATTTAATGACAAGATCTACACTCAATCATTCTTTTTATAAAGTACATACCCTGTGATATTTAATATGACTTTGAAAGTTTTGGTTTTCTACCTCGACGATTTATATCATCAACAGTGCCAGTTTCAAGTATCATCTTCACAGTCTTGCATAATACAAATATGGAGCATAACTTCAGTTTTTCAAATTGAGTATCCTTGATTAGCCAAAACTTTAGATTTCTGCATGCTTGACATGTAGTATTTCCGCCCTGGGAGCCATGGACAGATTTACTATATTACTACAGGGTACAGTATTACTGCCTGTATTTTTATAGGCTTTATATTGATGTATCACTTTCTGATTGACTGGAAGACAACCAAATACAGTGCAATCTACCAACACATGACTGTACTCTGGTGCAATTCTTTTTCACACAATAAATGGGTTATATTCCTGTAGTATTTGCCTCTTACACCCTTTTTTCTCACTGTTTCTATAATAATTTAAAATATGTAAACATATAACAACAAAATATGTATTTACACGTAACTGGATGGTGCACCTTGACTACTTTTCACTTCTCCACTTTTGTAACTTAGTTAATCCTTTCACAAATGGTTTGTGTAAAAACCATGAGCCTGTCTGGGGAAGGATACATGTGCAATAATACATACTGTAACTCTGAAATTTCTTAATGTATCTTCACGAAAACTGGTAATATTGTTAAAGATTCCAAGTACTTTGTACACAAAGAATGATGTTGAAAATAAAGTTGTTTAAAATTTGAATGTAACTTGTACAGAAAAGAGTTTAAAGAGGTATGCATAGGAAAAGAGTTAAAAGTTACTGACTATAGCCAACATTGACCCTGTTGGGTTGAAATGTCTACATAGATTTACTCATATTAAAACATAATAATGACTTTGCACTCTATACAGGATCGTAAATATTATAAATTGACATGGCTTGAAAGAAAGAAAAGACCTTTATAGGAAGGTATTTATTAATACAGGTTTGAGAGAATATCAGTAAAATATATTTTCATGTTTTTTCAATTAATTGCAATTACTGCCAAATGTATAAAAAACTTAAGATGAGTTTCAAAAACCAGATAGCCACCAAAAATGTCTAACTGAACCATACAACTGACTACTTAAATCACATGTTCCATTTTCTGCAATTAAACATACATTTAATAATGAACAGGACATTAAAACCTAACAGGGGTCTTCTTGGATATACACATACATTGAACAAACACAGGATAGTATTTTAAATGTAGGATAGAAAGTTGACTTTGGGTAGTACTTTATTAAACTCCTCTGGAAAAAGCCTAAAAATATGAAAATTTCAATTTTAGTTACCTTAAAAAGTAGAAATGATAAAAGAAAGAACTTACATCCCAACATAAGTACTATGGACATGGTAATAACTGTATCAGTTGGATCAGAAAGAGATAGGGTCTGGCCAGAATGACTGTTCAGAAAATCTACAGCATACTTGAAAATAAAGGGTACTTCCACACTCAGCAACTGTTTCAAGTAAAATATTATATTCTATATTTATACATCAAACAACAATTGAACATCAAAAATAATTCTTATCTGAAAAATAACAGTCATTTTCTCCTTTTCTCATATTCAGTGTCCTACTAAATATTCAGCAATAACAGAAAAAGAAAAAAAGATGTTTATGTATACACAATTGTATCTCTGGAGAGCTCTGGTTTATTTCAGTCTTTTTAAACAAGGTTCATCGAAAAGTTATATAATGGAAACAGGGAATGCTTAAGTTATTGATTTTTTTTTTGAAATACCTATAGGAAAAATTAGTAAAGTGTTCTTAGGGTACTTATCTATACAATGTTGACAGGGCCTTGAAACAGACAAATTTATACAAGTTTTTTTCAATTACAGCCTAATTTTCTAATAAGAATGTAATTGGAAACTGGGAACTTTAGAGATTATCTGACCTTGGAAATAGGACTTTAAATTATTTATCAAAGTAACAATAAGACATTATGTAAAACTTAGTAAATTTACATGCTTACAAGGTGCTTGTATACTTGAACATTAACATTTTCCTAATCTGAAAAATGTATTTCCAATAGATACTAATCTCTACACACAGAAAAGCTATCTTCCTTGTGCATCTGCCTAAGAGACTTGCAGGCCACCAGCCTTGAGGTAACTCCCACCTAACTGCACTGGTGCATGATGATGTCAATATGTAACAAAAGTCCTCCACCAATATGAAGGGACACAATCTCCATGCACAGAACACCCTCTTTGCATCTGCATTCATGATAACTTCATTCTTTGACAAGACAAGACAAGTAGATACATTAAGTGTGGATCATGTTTTCTGTACATTGTATGCTCACCTCTATTCAACTGAACAGGCTCTCACTGCAGGGGGAGAGCACAAGTAGTATGAGTTATAGATTAGAAGGGTAACCTGCTCTATATTGACAGTGTCACCACCACCCCATATCTCACCATATTGTAGTAAACCCAAATGTTGAAGATTCTCCATAGTTCACCACCCCAGTGGCAAGAGTCTCCCATGCTTCACTCAATGAAGGGAAGCGAGAGAATTCATGTTGGGGAAGCCCAGAGAAGTTCCAGGTCCCTGTCAGACCTCCAACTGGAAAGATCATGTACTGGAGACAGTGCAATGGGTGACTGCCAAACTCTACCATTAAAATACAGTTGTATTTGTGCTGTACTTACCATAGAAACCAGAACACCAAATAAATTAGTATGCAGAATTATATACAATGACCCAAAAGTCAGTTGCCATAGAGAGACATACTGTTTTGTTTTTCCCATATGTTTGAAATTATGGGAACAGTACATAAGTATAGTATACAGAGTGACATACAGAAGATATTAAAGTGTGGGGAACCAGCTTGTGAATCATCTGTATCTTAAAAACAAGTTTTATTATGTTATTATATTTTAGCTAATATGAAAAAAAATAATAATCACCAGGTAACACATATAACTCTTTGAATAAAATAAAAATATCTAACAGTTGTTTTTTTTTCCTAGTTTTTGTTTGTGTGTATGTGATACATCTCTACCTTAAATTTATTTTTTGCTTAATGCTGTTAACCAAATTTGTACAGGTTTAGTTGTTGGTATACTTTAATGTATGATCAGTGTGTCAATATTTGCCAAGTACCTATTTGTTTAAAGGGAGTAAATGTTAATTTTTCAATTAATTCTGTGCATTAGTGATTGTTTATACACCAAACAGTTGTTGCAAAACGATACATATGATTTACTTTGTAATTAAGATTTTGTCAAATAACTGTTGCTACATAAAAATGTACAAGTAATATGAATGTTAAATGTGTTTGTAGATGACCACTTAACTTCAACTTAGTTTAATCACTGCAATAATTTATATTTTCTTCATTATTACTTTTGAATTACATGTATGTGCTTCTAAGCTATTTTATGGACAATAAATCATTAAAAAAACGTTTTAAAATCATCCACTAAAAATCTTCTTCATTTCATTGATCTTACTGATGATATGTACAAAATATATGTTCATGGGTATAACTAAACTTTCATCTTTAATAGTGTGAGAATATTCATTATTAACACATATTCCTGAATTTTATTATAGTGTGGGATGACTTTTCAGTCATATATGTATATGACACACCTTGTGCATTTTTAAATAAACTACTCTTACTGACTGAATGTTAGACATTATATATATATATATATATATATATACACACACAAATTGAAATACTATTAGTAATTAATTACTTTACCATCTAGTAAGAATGAAGTACTTTAATAATTAAAATGCATTAACCACATTTACCATTGGTACCTATGTGATATTACAGAGTAGCCCTAAAATTATCTTTCTATTTCAAAATTTAATAATTAGATAACTAAGGAAATACAACCATGCAGTTTTCAACATCTTGTATCCCAGCTCAAACAGTTTTTATTGTCATGTTTTTTTTTTTACACTAATGAGTAGTGTTACCCCATAAAATGGCAATTGTGAAAGAAAAGATTTAATACATTGTTTGGCTTGCAAGAACCAAGTCACTGACTGTGGTGCAGTGTAATTACAGATGCCAGTACAGGAAAGAAGTATGGGGGGGTATGTTAAGGATATCGTGTATAACACACACCTATAGCAAACATCACAGAGCTAAAGACCAGGATCACAAATGCAATTGCCACTGTAACTGTAGGCATGTTGCAGCAAATGTGGAATGAAATTGAGTATCAGTTAGACATGCTGAGAGCCACTAATGTTGCACATGTAGCATGTTAAAACTGTTTGAGATTGGCTACAAGATGTTGAAAACTGCATGGTTGTATTTCGTTAGTAAATTTTTAAATTTAAAAATAGGAAATATCATTTTGGGCCACCCTGTACTTTAAATTATTGCAGTAATTAACACTAGTAGAACAGGAAAACTTTAAAATGATATAACAAATACACTTGAAGCAGTGAAGCATTGTTCAAATGATTTGGTAGCATTATTCAAAAGGGTGTGGCAACTATCACCTGGAATACCAATACACCTTAAAAAGACATGATAGTAGATACTTAAAAACTAAGAAGTTAACTACATTAAATACTGTTTGAAATAATGGTATAAGTTCTACTTAAATCATTGTGTATAATACTGGTAGTACAGTATCTGTACAAAAGAAGTGCATTATTCAAATACAAAATGTTAATCGACCCCTAAGCACAATAGCCTTAACACTTGTAGACAATAATTTAGAAATAATGCAATGACATTATAAGTATAGTTTAAGGAAAGTTATAATTTTCCTATACTGAAAATGTATTTCCGATAGGTACTTACTTCTTCTCACATAAATAGCTATTATTGTTCAGTACTGCCCTCTATATGCAAAACATTTTTAACACATGCAACAAGCCTCTTTTCTCCCCTCCATTGGAAAGACTAATTCCAATGCATCTCTCATGCAAATAATCATGTAACAACTCTCCACCAATAAAAGTGCGACATACTCTTATTGCGTATGCGACTCCCTCTGTTCAATTCTACCTAACTCTTACTTCGAGTTTTGGCAGAAAATGGAAGCACCAGTTTTCATTGGGGAGGAAGGGTGGGAAGTACCTATCAGAAATACATTTCAGTATAGGAATAGTATAACTTTCAATATGGTACATTACCTATGCTCAAATAAATAGCTAGAATCCTACATTGAACAGGTGTAGGGACCAGTGTGAGGGAAAGAAGGAAGCATCCTCGAAAGCATCTGAAGGACACTCCCTAAAATGAAATAGTCAGGTTTTAAGGTCTGATGAGGGAGACTATACCACAACTGAACCAGGTATTATACTCTTCGCCCATCGTAGAAAGATTTCACATGTATAAATGGAAAACAGAGGAGCATGTCCAATTGGGAGAGAACTATGGCCGGAAAGTGATCCGAAACATGCAATATTTATGAAACTCAATCTCAGAAATTATAAAAGTAGGTAAAATGAAAAGAATGTGCCTCTAGGTGTAGAGTGGTTAGAGCATGATGGACCATACATGGCGAGTCAACTATATCTAAAACCCATGCTTCTGGGAACCGACATCCACGCAGGGGTAGGATGTGGATCCTGCCATCAGTAAGTCAACTACAACCCAAAACCCATGTCGGTGGGAACTGACATCCATGTGAGGGTAGGATGAGGATCCATTGTATGGTTAACTACATCAATAACATTAAAATTTATGTACAAACCTTGGCTCCTACTAGTAGTCCCAGAGCCACAACAACTCTTCCCTTGATTCCAGGTTTATCTTTTGGCCATAAGTAGCAAAACATTTCTTTGAGAATTGACCAAGCCCCTATTTCTTTGGTAGGAGTTCCTAGCTTCAGGGGGATCTTTCCAGATGCTCCGGGGTGAAAACATTCTCGAACAATTATAGGTTTCTGTTCTTGCTATGTAAGTAGATCATTAAACTTTTTCATCACTCACTCTGCAAGTAACAATAAATCAAGTTTAGAAAACTATAAATAAAACTGTCCAGCTAATAGCCTACAAATTTTGTTTTTAAGATATTATTTTTCATATGTCGTAGTAACATGATGTGCACATATATACACACACACACACGCACGCACAAAAAAAACTCATGCAATGTTTATAAAACCCACTAGTAAATTTGATTTTAAATTTTGAAAACAATACTTCAGCATTTAGAAGACTGGCTGAGAGTAAACTAACAGAAATTACCAGAAAATACTATTTCACATATATTGGCTGTTAAAAATATATGTACTACGATTTAAAACATTCAATAAATTCAGTCCACGATTTATAAATATTTATAGTATCAGAATCTTAGAAAATTCTGTAGATCAGGAACAACCAAGTTTACTTGAAAATAATTATTCAAATCATTTAGGCCACATACATGTATGCTAGTTTATAATTTCTACATACTTTACATATACACGCAGTTACAACTTGTATTTGTATCTATCTTATCTAAACTTCAAATTACTGACTTGTTCTTATACTGTTCATTACTGGTGGAGTCCACATATTGCATCATGTTGAGTTACTTCATGTAAAGAGCACATCCAAAACATTAGTTGAAATTATTCATTTTTAATGTAAAATACAAAAGCAACCCAAGCAGTAATTAGTGGGATTAAACTGTAATACTTATGATATTTTTGCTTAAAAGTTTCTGAAAGTTTCACTTCTTTAATAGCCCTGTAATCTTAACAGTCTTGGGCTCCACAAACAACTTGGTGCATAGTTTAGGGCAGCCCTTCCAGTAACTTGCAAAAACAGGAAGTCTAAGAATTCCAAAGCATCTATTTCAGAAGTCACCTTCAAAGACATGAAGGTCTCAGAAGACTATACTGAATGCTCAATGTTAATGTAATGGTGCAACTGGTATATGAAAAATCATCATAATGCATGTTCTAAACTAGATCATTTAAACTGGCCATCTATTTATTATTTGTCTTGTTTATCTGTGTATGCAGTTTTTGTATGGGACAGACCTATAAGTGTAAAAATGATACCGATGAGTTCTATTTCAAGAATAGCCGATTGAACATGCATCTCACAACATTGATGCTGGGATTGACTTGCAAAGGTTGTGATTTAGTGATTTACTCTTGTAATCATTACAGTTAATCTAAATGGATTCACAAGACAATTTAAAGTTTTAAGTCTATGTCAAAATTTAATAAAAACAGAATTTTTTTTTTTAAAGTCACAGCAATAAAATAGGTGAATTTGAAATCAGAAACAAAATATTTTAGGCCTATGGGCATATGGGAGTAAAGCACTGATGTCAAGGGACTTTCACACATTCAATTTTTCCATCCAAATGAAAACTCTGGGCACAAAATATACTAGGATGTTCAATAACATATGAATTGTAAAAAAATGTGATTTTTTGATTAAAAAACAAATGGGTTTATATAGACAAGATTTCTAAATGTATTTGTTATTGTTTTATAAATGTATAAATGACTAGTATATATTATATGCTAACCTTCTGTTCCTTGTGATACATGATTGTAAAGGCTATATGTGTATAGTTCTTGAAATGTACCTTAAGAACAAGCTTGACCTACCCAACAGTAATTCATACTACAGATTATAAATGTTGTTTAAGCCTGAATCAATTACTTTTAATCTTTAAATTTCAGTCTCAATGAAAGCCTGTTTCATTACAGTGTTAATTCACTTATATTTCAGGATAAAGACTAATGACCTTAAATATGTTTGTGAAAAATTTTATATTCTACACAGTAAAACAAAAAATGTTAACTTTTCAACACACAGCAGACTTGTTAAAAGTCCTATAAAAGTTAACCTGTTAAACAAAGCATATAATTAGTACAGTTTAAAAACAATGTTTGTAGCTCAAAAATATGCTTAACCAGTTCATAAAAACTAAACCACTATCACTAATTACCACAAATGCCAATCTCAAATAAAGCTTAGCAATTAATGGAATTTACTAATTGATTAACTGTTGGGATCATTAATCAATTACATTCAACTAATCAATTATTTTCACACAAGACTTGGACAGTTGGAATAACTAAAAATAATTTGGAATCACTAATTCTCATTAGTTGATTATAACACTTATAGATTAAGCTACCGAGATATCATAATAGCTACATTTCAACTAAATGGATAACTGAAATGATCAAAAACAGTAATAATTGAAAACACTAACTTCAATTTATTGATTATTTTCTTGGCATTAATCATTTCATTATTAATTTTGATGAATTGTTTTATGTGACACTAACTGATGTAATTGATGCACATAGGTAGTAGACTATAATCACAGAGTTAACTGCCAAACTAAGCCAGCTCTAATCTTAACCTTAAAGAAGTTCTTTGAAAGAAAAAACAGCCTGATTCATGTAAATATATTGTTAAATATTTGAAGTTAGAAATTATCTAATGTATACTTACTTGTTTAAACAAACCAGTTCTAAAAATTGGATTCCTTACTGCTATCCTTCTAGTACAGAAACTTCTAACCTGCAATAACATAGAATATTCACTCAATTATTACAAAAGCATACACAATATGCAAGAGCAAAATACAAATACCAACACATTTACAACTAAAATAAAACACAGTGATAGGTACATACATGTACACATACAAAACATACATTTTTGTCATAAAATACATAAGGTTAGTCACTATGAGAACAACATTCCAGGCCCTTTACAGATCTAGGAATTACTTCCGTCTTCACTAATTGTGCTATCATACTATCAGTATCACTGCCATCACAAATTCTGTTATTCAAGTAAAACGCTTCTGTGAAGGATGGCAAGTAGAGCTGAACAATTAACTTGATTACTTGATATAATCAATTACCTATGAGCATATATGATATAAATTAACGTCATATAAAATAATCACAAATTACAAGTTAATTGATTGACATAACAAAACTAATCACTTAATAAAACCTATCCAAGTAATCAAAGTATTGCCTTTATGAGTTCTCATTATTATTTTTGATTAATTCATAAATTGCAAATAAGGATCAAGCAAGTATTTGCAATAACATTTTTCAACAAATCAAATACCTTATATCAGCCTAACTCCTCTTGACAGTCTTAACTTCAAATCTTAAGGTATTTATTTCCTTTCAAGACCACAAAATTATTTATCACAACCATCTAATTTACATTCATTTTACATAATCAAATATGAAAATAATATCAATATGTCATCTCTATTGAAACCTTGTGTCAGTGTCTTAATATAAACATGACTCATCTAATGTTTAATATAAACTAAGATGCACATGAGGTTATATAACACACATAAACAATAAAAATCATAATTAAAAATAAAACAGAAATGGGTACCTTACAGAAGATTAGTCATGGAAGTGCCAACGGAATCCATGTGGACCTCATATCTTTTTTAAAACATTCCTTTCTAAACTATCCAACAAAATTATTTAACATGTGGAACCAACAAGTAGTGAACAGTACAAATAGTCAGTATTTTGAGTGTTAGACAAAGAAAGCTTAATTTTACAGTGTTAGTGTTTTATGCAAATGTTATCATAATTATGAAAAATTGCCAATGGTCACTGCTTATTCATAATCTAATGTCTCTCTGTTGTTCAGTGGGACATCTAAGAGTTTTGTATGAAAGTTGAAATTCAAAATGCTTTGGTTCAGTTCATATTTAAAACTAGTTAAATACTGATAATTACATTTCAAGGTTGGAAGAAGCATGTAATTTTGAAGATTCTGATTTTCACTTTCACATGAAATTTATTAACAATTTACATGTAAAATTTAACAGGTTTGCTGGCTGAGCTAGTCTAGCCTTTGATTCTCTAAATGAAATTGAAAAGCAATTTTTTGCCATTTTTAGTTTCACCATGTTCGAAGTATCAGTCTTCAGAAACCTACTTCCTCATTCCTCTGTCGATGAATGTTTCCCACCTATTATTTTTAAATACCACTGAATGAAACAAACAAAACGAATTGCTGGTTAAGTTTAAATTAAAAACAGTTATATTTAAAAAACTTTACCCAAGAAAGTTAGTAGAGCTTTATTAAACCTTTTATTTATTATTATTAATTATTTGTTGTTCTTCTAGGCCTAACACAGTGTAACTTGCAAGTGCCGGTGTGAACTTGAAATATGCTGAGCTTCTATTTTATTTATAAAACATTAAAAGTTAGTTAAAGGTTGAAACCCCCTAGATCACGTGAGGTAGAAATTAGATTTAGATTAGAACAGTGATAGTGAAACCGGTGATACTTGAATTTGGAAATAGGCTAAACAAGAAGTGAATATTGAGGTTGAATTTTAGATTTTACCTGACGACGTAGATTACTGCTCTCTGTTTTGTTGAATAGATATAATCTTCGAAACGTACATAAATACTTGGATCTGAAAACTAAACTATTTGATTTCAAGCACAAAATTTCTTTTCCTAAAACAATCCCAGCCATCATTATTTTACATAGCATGCCCTCGTAAAAACGAAGAAACGCGAGACTGCAACGTTGAAATTATCAAATTCAAGACTGATTTGTGTGATAGCGCACACCACTATGCTGCTGTTACACGGAACGAAATCACCCAGAAACTACACACAGCTATCTTACTACATCTGTATAAATCTTATTCCGCTTTATTATCATATAACTATTATTCGGTAATAATTTAATCAAGATGTCTCGCTTTTCGGCCTTTGTTAAGCATGGTCATTGCTTATTTGATAAATTTAAATAACAATATAATACAATTTTATTGATAGATACATATAATTCACGAACGTATGCAGGAAGGGTTCGGCCAATTTGTTTGGTTGTTTGTAGTTTAAGCACATAACTACACAAACTGCTCTCTATGCTCTGCCCACCCGGCTTCTAGTGTTGTAAGTCCGCTGTGCCACTGGGGGCGGTTTGGGCAAACCCTATATTTTTGTGATATATATAAAAAAAATTCTTATATTGTTATAGCGCAGCTGCTTAATTATAGTATTTAACACTTTCTATATAGTCTACATTCTTTTAATGAAACACTAGCATTTTTAGGTCGATGCTGAACCTGACCCTCCCTAGTCCAAAAAACGGACCGAATCTCTATGAAGAAGAATATTAAGTCCATTTGTTTTAAAATTATATATTAAAACAAGTCAAACGTATATACAAATGTTCGTTACACTGTTGGTTATCACAGTTGTATCCGGAGCTTTAAATAATTATCTCTTTTTCGTCATAGTCCACACAGACGGATTCAATTACTTAGTACACAGTTGACAAGACGAATTATTCTGCTATGCTGTGTTATTACAATACAGTCTGTCATGATTTCACTTTAAAAATCACCACTATATGCTCTTTTCTCTAAACTCACAATAGCGCAGTTTAGATTTAAATAATAATCTTTTGACGTATATTTATAATCCGACAAAAGTCTAGAACGTTCCATGCACTAATGGATATTCTGATACAATAATACTCTATTAAAACAAGGAGAAAAATTCAGAAAGTGCTAGTAACATGACGCAACAATATAACAAACACTAACTCATAACAATTGAACGTACATGCTACACAGTGTATGATTCGTAAACAATCTTGCCATAAACTCTCCCTTCTAAAAATAACTAAATATGCATGAGTGTCCACAGAAGTTTTTCCAGGGGGGACAAAGTAGTGTGAAGTGAATAAAAAATTCATATATATATATATATGCTGAATGAACAAAGAAAGAATTATGTTTCTCATTTTTCAGGGGGGCAAGGGGGCACTTGCCCACTTCATATGCCCATGTAAATATGACACTCGCACTATATAAAGTATTGTTACGACAGCGGAAGTCACATAACGCGGCTGATAGATCATGAGTTTCTAGAAGGATCATGGCTTTTCTTGGCAACTCTAGTCTTTTCCAGGCGCCCTCTATTTTAATATATAAGACTGGCAAATAAAGCGGAGACGATAGCAGATTGAAGAGATATATAGAGACAGATAATTGAGTCAAGTGAGTGGTAGTCACCATAAGTAAAGTGCGTGAATCATTGTGAATTATGGCGTGTGTTTAAGTTAAAGTTAGTGTGGAAATTCTGTGTATTGCAAAGTTGTATTGAGAAAGAATAAACTAGTTTTATTGAAAGAAAGGACTTGTATCACTGAAGTTCCTCAGGGGGGGGGAGGGTTATACCGGAAGTTAATAAACGACCATATACGTAACAGTATCCAAATCATAATGCTCACATTAAACTTAAACTGAAAGAGTCGTGTATAGCTAACAGCTACATGTGATTTTAAGCACAAGCAAGCTTTGTGGTGTTGTGAAAATAGAACTATAAAGTGATTGTGGGTTTGGATTTAAGTATTTTTGTGGGTTTTTATTTTCTTACAAGGAAGGAGCTGAGAATTGTACTAATATAAATTCATTTGAAAACTATTTGCAATATGAGTAAGTGTCTGGCTCACAAGACTACACAGTCCACTTGGTTTAAAATTATATATTAAAACAAGTCAAATGTATATATTTATTATTTATAGGTGTTACTGTGAGTTTAAAATAGCTTAGCTTGAAAATTATAAATAATTATTATACAGTCCAAAAGTGGATGGCATTTCTCGTGATCCTTCTACTAACCTTCTTCCAGTGCATAGCCAACGTGATAAAATAGTACTTGTCAACAAATCATTTAATAACTGTGTAAAAGTTAGTGATTCTTTATGCAACTATTCTAAGCAGGCTATGATTCTATGCAGGCTGCTGATGCTTTGAAAGCTTCCATTAAACATCCATCATCCAGTAGAATTCATGTATAACTCAGAACAAACATATCCTTCATTAAATTGTTTGTAATGTTTTATTTTTAGGAAAACAAGGCTTGGCATTTTGTGACAATACTGAAAATGTAAATTATTCCAAAAATTCTGAAATCTGGCCTTGCTGAAACATATGCTTAAAATGATGAAAAATTGAAACTCATTTGTATCATCCCAAGATGAAAATGTTATATATTTATCTCCTCACTCACAAAATTACATCATTGGTGTCATAGGATATGATGTAATTCGAGTGAAAACTATTGATGAAGTAAAAAAGGCTGGATTCCACTCTGTTCTTCCTGATGATGTATCTTCTCATAATGTGGAACACTTACAAATAGATTTCCACTTTGTAGATGACAACTGTGAAATTCTGGATGAATTTATTGGCTTTGTTAAGCTATAGAAGGTCAGGGTGACAGATATTGTATGTGCAATTACAAAGATATTTACTGATGTCAGTTTATATCTAAATAAATTGTGTGGTAAAGGATATGATAGAGCATCTACTCTGGCCGGCAAAAGATCTGGTGTCCATAAACAAATTCGGGATATGCAAAGCAAGGCCTTGTACAATCATTGCATAGGCCGTTCACTTAATCTTACAATTATAAATTTATGTTTAACTCCACCAATACAAAACTATATCAATCAAATTAAAGGAATAACTATTTGGATTAAATCTATGGAAAGGGCATCCAGCATACAGCAGCTTCATCACGTCTTCTACTACTCAATGCGTGTATTACACGCTGGGTTGAGAATATTGAAAGTTGGGAAAAGGTTCTGTTTATGTTACCTATTGTTACTTCACGTGTATGATGTTATTGTGTATGGAGATGATCATTTTGAAATATTTAATGACAATTGGACTTCTGAACGTAAGAAAAATGCTATGGCTTATCTAAAAATACTGGAATCCTTTGAATTCGTTTTATGTTTAACAGCTTTACAAAGTTCCCTTTGCTTTTTGAAAAAAAGCTTCTGTAAATTTGTAGGGTCCAAGCTAAGAAATTGTGTTTGGTGTTTCCTTAATAGAACAATGCTGTAAAGAATTGACTTCCCTCAGAGTGGATGTAGATGACTATTCACATCGTATCTTCAAGCACAGCAGTAATATTGCAAACACATCTAATATTATCATGTCAAGAGTTACTCATCGAAAAGTCCAATGTGCAAATGTAGAATAATGTTCCATGGAGGATTAATTTAATAAAACACAGTAACCATTCCTTTTATTGACCACATTATCCGTAATCTTTCCTTCAGATTTGAAGCACGTGTAAAGGAAGCAGCATCAATTCAGAAACTTATGCCATCAAAACTCACACAAGAATTTTCCATCTCTGATTTCAGACAGGCTACAGATTTTTACAGGGAAGGTTTGTCAAATCCTGATATTTTTCATGAAGAACTTCATTGTTGGAAGATAAGATGGCTTTCTATACCTCTCCAGGATGAATTTCCAGAATCAGTTGTGGTACAAGAAGAAGTATTACTTTTTGCTATTATGAAAAGAAAATCTGCTTTTTACGTATTATTATGCTGTATTTTTAGGTGCATTATTTAATTAGATAAATACTTATATAGTATAACAGTACCATTAGTATAAAAACGTAGGGGAATGTTCCATTGACAGTCCACAGCAATAAAAAAAGACCCAGGTAAGTACTATATTTCTTGTTTTTAATGTGTATTCTTTACTTATTATTATAAAAGTAAATAAATGTAAAAATTATAAATATATTAGGTTAGATAAGGCTAGATTGGGTAATTTAAAGAAAAATTAGTAATAATGATAATTCTTCACGTGGTATGCTCGCGAGTCGCTTGTACGTTAAGTAATTCGATAGGATAACGTGAGGTACTCGTTCGCCGAGTGATTTACAATTTGTGTGGCAGTAGTTAAACAATAAAATTTAGGCAGAAACAGATGTATACTGTTACGAGCCTTAAGCTATTTACGATAAACAGTTATAGTTTCCTGTTACAATCTGTGATCATTCTACAAAGAAAAAAGAGTAAATTAGCTTTATGCCCTATTTTTATGGTGGTTACGAGGTTATCGTTTTTGTTTTTCATTATTAACTATATTGCGGGGTATTACATTTTCAGGTGCTTCTTGGATTATTGAGCCTCTCTGTAGAGTGTAGCCATATTACAAATGTACCATCCACAGAGTTGAGCCAAATCTTGTGGCATAGAACTGGAATTAGGCTGTGATCCCAAAGAAGGTTGAGGGTTCTGTTATTGTGGAGATTGTCTGTTATTTATGTTCCTTAAGTGTTTTATAATTTTCAAGCTGTTGATTGAGTTTTTTAAGAGGTTGGAAACGTCAAAGATGATTTCTGCGCCTTCGGTGATTATCGTGGTTGTTTTATATTCTCTACAAAGTGGTCTGACTTCTTAACCTGTAAGGAAATGTATCTACTAATGGTAATATTATAACTACCAAATGTCAAGCTAAAGGGTGGCATGATGAATCTTTGTACTTAACTGTGGGCTAGAGAAGGTAGTTTTGTTTGTAAGTTTTAGGTAAACTATAGATTATGAGGTGGCGCTAAAAAGATACATTTGGATGAATAAGCAAGCTTTAACTGGTAGTTGTCTGTGGAATTATGAAAAGTGTTATGTGTGGTGAAAACATGCACATTACCATATTACCCAGTCTGATGGTTTTGAAAAAAAGACTACTCAAGCTATCGTGCATATTCTTAAAAAATTTATAAGCCCTGACTGGATCAAGGAGGATGATCACCTACTGTACATCATGATAGCACATTTTTTAAATGAAAAAAAATTGAATAGATGTTTGTGTGAAAAGTGGAACTTTCTGTGGACTTTATGTATGGTCACTATCCAATGCTGAATAAAAATGCTACAATTTTCAAAAGCGTATGAGGAGTAGCCGAGTTCTACATCAGTTGATGCACGTAAATTTACATGCCAACATATAGGTAAAATAGCCAAACATCATAAGAGACTATGACAATGTAGTGTTAAAATGACTGTTTGAGTCATTAGACGAGGTATGGTTTGGTTCTATAGTAGGACTGGTCTGTATTTCAAGCATGAC